AAATTATGTTTGTTGTATTTGTATGACCCAAATTTTTATATACATATTCTATTAATCTTAATAATCAATCTTCAAAAAAAGAAAAAGTTCGATTTTAACTTTAGATATGGTCATAATTAGTCCCTTCCAACAACGAATCTAGAACATTTATTTGGTGAATTTCAAGATCTTAGCCGTTAAACACTCAAATTATTTTTTTCTTTTTTAACATTGTTCATCTAAATAAAGCCATCTAAAAAAATGGAAAAGAAAAAATCTTTCTAAGATCTAGATCTAAGCATCGTATCAAAATAGACGGCCTATGTTAATTGGACTAAAAAAATACTTTCTACATTATATTTTCAAAATTTTTATTTTTTATGATTGTTCATTAGAATGAAAACAATGTATATTTCAAAAGTTGGATCAAACAAATGGCCTTAACATGGTTTTTTAATATTATTGCATTATACTATGATATAACTATTACATGAAATCATTGCCTATATATTAAAATATTGGGTTATGTTAGGGTGCTCATACTATTGAGTAATGTATCATGGTACTCAATAAATTTTGGACACTTTTTTGTATATAAAGCATTTTTCTAACAAAGTTATTTTTTTATTAGGAGGATGTGACGTGATTCACATGGACTAGTCCCATTTAATGATGAATGTAGGTGATTTCACATTCCATGTAGTTGGCGTCACACCCCTTCTAATGACCAAAAGTACCTTTAGTAAAAAAACTTAGGTAAAAAAAATTGGGATGATGTCACACCTCTCTTAATGACGAAAAAATACTCTTAGTAAAAATAAACTAAATATATAAAACAATAGTATATAAGTGTCCAAATTTGATGAGTGGATTCTGTCAACACCCTAACATAACCCTTAAATTTTATATTAATTATATACATCAGTGTTAGCAAAATCAAACTGGAATGGTTAACTGGACCTGGGCCTGAAAGCGGTTGAACCGGTAAACCGGTCGATTCAACCGCTCTAACTGGACAAGTCCCGGGTTGTAAAAAAAGTATCAAAAAAAATTTTAAAAAATAAAAAAAATTTCTTCTAAAATATGAAAAACATATAAAGAATTATTAAAACAAAACAAGTAAAAAATTAATGAAAAAAATGGATTTAACCCATTTTATATTTTCTAAGGGCCATTTTAAAAATTTCTAAAAAAGATGGGAAAATATAAAAGTGAGTATTAATGATCAAAACAAATTTTAATCTTTACCATGTTATAAAAAATATTTTAAAATGTATTACAAATCAAATTTCTTATTTTTGATAATTTTTATATATATATTTTATTTGTTTTTTTATTTTAAATACCTGTTGATTACCTTAACTGCTTAAACTAGAACCGGGCTGTTAGCGATTAGATCGGGTGATTTTGCGAACAATAATATACATATATCAATTAAGAACAATTGTTTGATGTCTACAATATGCGGTCCAGAGGTATAAAACATCTATCTTAAAGATCGATGCAAATAGGTGGTCCATCTAAAAACAATTGGGAAAGCTTTTTATGTTCCACCTACAATATAGAAATCCTATCATCCTCCTATCATCCAGCCGTCTATTTTTTATCAAGAGAGCCACTCACCGTTTGATTTTAGATCTAACGTCTCAAAGTATTTTATTTTTAGTTTTTTTAATACAAATTTTATGAATATGAAATACGTGCCATCTTCTCATTGGGGTGCGCCTATAAAAAAATATTAACAATAATTTTTTGATACAAAATAAGAACCAAAATACCCTTTAAAACTTTCAGGGGTATTTTAGTTATTTTATTTTATCGAAAATATATTTTTTTATCTTTTTCGTTAGTGCGAGTTTAATAGAGGGATGGACATCCAAAATTTGGTGTTAAAATAGTTTACAAAACAAAAATTAAAAATAAAATAGTATAGAGAACATTGTGATTGGAGCTATCTTAGCCCTCCGTTAAAAAATGGACGGTTGGATAAAAGGGAGGATACAACTTTAGGGGGAATATAGAAAACTTTCCCAAAACAATTATAACTAATGGTCTAAATGTTTTCTTAATATAAATATTATTTCTAATTTTCACTTTTTTTTTTTTTTTTTTTCATATTCAAGATCTCAATGTTAAAAATTATATATTATCTAAAAATTAGGATAAAATTATATTTAAAAAATATATTTATTGTCAAGCATGTATATGATATTTTGGGGTATTTGATGAGATGGTCGGTAATATATTTCAAATTTTTTAATTTTTTGAAATAATAATGACAATAAAAAATATATTTATTGTCAAACTTGCGTCTAATATTTTTACTTATATGGGCTTGGTCGCATGCTAACTGCCTCCATCAGTTAAATATTATATTTAGTTAAATATTATTTAAATATGATAGATTATTATTATTATGGGTTTGTCTAAGAAACTTCTTACGGAAAAGTATATCACGAGACGATTTATATTTAGTATAATAAGGTGGTTATAATTGGTGTTGGCTTTTGGATGTGAAATCGGATGGCTGAATTTATTCCATTGATTAGACATAAATAATTTCCATTTCGGAAAAGCTCACGAAACTTTTGAAGCGGGTATCAAGATGAAATTCAAATGGTTTCATAGTCTGGGCGGGCTCGCATCAAGGTATCGAGAGAGAGAGAGAGAGAGTGAGAAATGTTGCAGTTCCCCACATTTGTAAACAGATTCCCTTCCTCTTCTTTGATTCCATCTTCTCTCCTCATCCCATCGCAGCCCCCTCCGACCCATAACGAGGAGCTGCTCCTTGCCATGGAGGAGTCTGATCTCGAAGAGAAGGTATTTCCATCCTCAAATGAATTCCATTCCTGATTAATCCCCTTTTACCTAGTTTAGCTTTCATGGCCTCTCCATTATTATATTTGTTACTTCAATCGTTTGATTGAGTAGGTATCTGGACTGGTTCCGAAATTTATAGGGTCTAGGGTCTAGGGTTTTGGTTTTTTCTCTTTTGTGGGTCTTCGTTTGATCTGATATTTTGGGATATCAAATTGGATTGTAGGTAATAACTTTTGTCAGTTTTTCATTCTTTGAACAAAGGGCTGCTACTTTGTCTCTCATTTCTTTCTTTATATGATATGGTGGTTTCAAGTTATATTGTGTGAATCAGTGGACTTTATCTGACATTTTAAGCCTTTTAAATTTATTTAATGCCATTTTCTCGATGTAATTTGTTGATATCCAGAGATTTTTTATGGAATAGAGAAAGAAAACCATGTTCATAGAGTTTGTGGTGCATAATTGTTTATGAATGACCCTATATTAGCTACTGCCAATGAAGAATTTCACCAACCAAAGGAAGCTTTATGCAGACACTACGCTTCTGGTCGTTATTGACTAGGGTTATCATCACTAAACGTGAAGTCCATTTGGATTATATACAAATGTTGATCATAACAAATAGATATGACAGGCCTGCGCCTTCCAAGAGAGGGAAAGGGAACAGAAAAAAGTAGAAAGTAGACAAGTGCAATAAAGCGATAACGGTTGGGATACATAAAAGGTGATTTATGGATAGGAAAAGGACCCGGCCCCTCAAGCGAGGGACACCCCCTTCTTTCACTTCTAAGTATTTCTTTAAGGAAAAGTATACGATGAGACCATTTATCTTTGGTAGAAGGTGGTCACAATTAATCTTTTTTTTTTATTATTATTATAATGTTAACCTTTAATAGATGAAAAGAGAGAGAAGTACAAAGGGCCTTGGCGATCCACAGAGGAGGATGCTCAAGGGAAATAAGAACCAAAGAAGTAGAATCAAGTCCTTTTTTAGGAGGTTACAATGGAACAAAGCAACCTAATAAAACCGATTGATCCGAAGAACAAGACAAAGAACTGTCCATAAAAGTAAAAAAACCCAAAAAATCATCAGTTGTTCGCCATCTCTACTGCTTCTTTGGCAAGCTTATCAACGTCCTGGTTTCCTTCTCTCCACGTATGCATCCACTCGACAGACATATTTCTGCAAAGGTGATCAATCTCATCAAACACATGTGCTAGGAACCATGGGGGAGGAGAGAGAAATTTTTTGAGCCCAAGAAATAGTGTTCTTGGAGTCTCCCTCCACCACTAGAGAATGTAAGTGGAGAGGGTCTATGAGCTTCGAGCCTTCCAACAGCACCAGCACTTCAGCTTCCATGGAGCTGGTGTGGCCAATAAATTTGTAGATAGTGTTCAAACTGCAGCCCTGGTGGTCTCTAAGGATGGCTCCTACTCTTGATGGACTGGGGTTCCCAATAGAGCATCCATCAAAATTCAGTTTGAGTTGTCCTATTGGTCCTAGTGGTCCTTGGCAGACGCACTTGATGGGTTTGAAGGACATTCATTGTACCAATCCTGGCTGAATGCCGAGGCTGGAATTCCTTTGTAATAGTGGTGATTGGTAGCCCAGAAGGTAATGGAGGTCTTGAGCTTGTCAAAAACTTTGGTCCAAGGCGAGTAACCCCCCCAGAACGTTCTGTTGTTTCGCTCGATCCATATGGTCCATAATGTGGCTGGCACAATTAATCTTTGACCATTGGATGTGAAATTAGATGGCTGCATTTATTCCATTGACCAAGCTCATTTCAAAGGAAATTTTCTCGAATTTTGTGACACACCTAAGCTATCAGATTTCACATCAGATGGTTGTACATAATTGTGATCACCTTATATAAAAAGTAAATGGTCTCATTGTATACAATCCCTTTCTTTAATGAGTCATTTTCTTTCACTTATGTTGATTGAAGAGTTGCTAATGGTCCTTATTCCGCATGTTCACTTCTAAGTATTTCTTTAATGAGTCATTTTCTTTCAATTATGTTGATTGAAGAGTTGTATATGGTCCTTGTTTTGTAGTGGAGTGATATCAGGAAGACCAATGGCACTGTGGTTTGGATTGGGAAAGTAAATGTTGAAAATGGCAAAGAAGAGTTTGATGCTGATGCAGAGGACGATGATGCTGACAATGTGGAGGAGAGTGATGGCGATGAATTTGAACAGGAGACCGGATGACCAAATTCTTGAAAGTGTGGAAATGTTCTGAGTTTGTTATTTTAGTTCTCTCTTATGAAACTGATTCTTAAGTAATGAAATCATTGATATTTGTGCTTATTTGCTCTAGATTTTTTTGTATCATGTTATCCATCTATCTATGCAATATAATGGAATAAACATTGCTGGGTTATTGCACTCATGCAGAATGGTTACTTCTATGGCCCAATGACAAGTGGTAATTGTAAACCGCTTCCATGGGAGCTTCAGTATCAATTTAGAAGCACCTTAGTGGCTTATGGTTTTTGGTTTGAAAATCTAAATAAAATATAATTTTAATTGAAAAGCAGGAGTTCCTTTTTTTCAAATGCCTTTAAACAATAGTCATACTTTGAAGGATTGCCTTTTTTAAATTTAAAATCTATTTTTCTTGTGTGGATGCAATGCACCTGCTAGGAATTTATACTTGAGGATTAACGGTTTTCCTCCATGCACTTGTGAAATCAAACAGACGGAGCAAATGCTTCACACGTTACTTTGTATACTGACGTTACCCTGCTTATGTTGTAAATAAGATTCCTACTTGAGAATGGCTTCAAGATCAAACTAGTTATTCATATTGCAAGCATGGTAACTGTCTCAGACAACCTAGACTAGTTTAGGCTGATAAAAATGCTAGCCTCAACCTGAGTTGGCTAAAGCTATCAGTCTGCAGTCTGGTGCTAGAGTTTGCTTGGACATGCAAAAATTACATGGTCATTGCTTTGCAACATTACAGAGAGGCAGTTGAGGACTATCATCGATGCTTTGCTGCTATCTTTTATGGGTGGATGGGAATGGCCTCTCTTAAACAATTTGTTCGTTATTTTTCTTTATTTATGCATAAGAAAAGAAACTTTTAGTCTAATTTAATGGAAATGGCTCTATAAGACATCTCTATTGCTCTAATTGTTGGCTTATGAATGAGATTTAAATACAAAATATGTAAAGGGGGCTCCTAGTTGGGTTGGCATCCTTGTTGTGTGCTTCATGTTTCTCATGTGTCCAAATGTGGCTTCTCCAATTCTCATGCGAAACATGTATTTCCATAGAACATGTAAATGCTATCGTGTAAGTTGGTGCAGAGTGTGCAAAAAATTATCTGAAGGATCTTGTAGTGGTAAACTGGTGAGAGAGCACTTAATTTTCCAAATGATTTGAGAGATATTATAGATTGAATTGGTGATGCAAAGGATACTTTGAGATTTATCATTGGTATTGGCAACAGATATAATTTCTGAAAAGACCAATGGTGTTGTGGGGTCTTTAGCCTTCTCTATATAGGATTCAGAGTGCAATTTTAGCATTTGTCTCAACTAAGCCCTTCCAAGGTATGAGTTAGAGAATTGATTTCAGGGGGATCTCATGGATGCAGAGTTGGATGAGTTGGTTGATTTCCTATTTCTGGTTAAAAAATGCATGAGAGGCAAGAGAAGGTAATTTGGAAATTGGAAGTTTCAGCTTTCATTAGAAGTTCTTTTTGTAAGCTATGTAGTCAAGTTTGTTGTGCAATGGAGCTTCTTTTCTATGCCACCTCTATTTGAGATACTTTTTATGGCTTAGCCAATGGTGTTGTAATACCTGTAGGATGTGACTGGTTGATCAAGAACACCATGGGTATAAGTATCAAATGTTTTTTACGAGGCGATTGGGTTTCTCTGTTGCAGTTTGAGCTGAAGCCAATGCAGCTCTTCTGGATAAAGATTTAACTGGGCCACCTATTATTGAAGACAGCTCTGTTAAAAGCATTACATGGCTCCGTGGAACCTCTGCCATCCCACAAGCCTGCAAAGTAATTTTCACATAGTTAATTTTGTTTGTAAATCGAGGGAAGCAAATGTGGATTGCAGATGTGTTAGGTGGCATGGGTTACTGTAGGTGTAATGTCAAAATTTCAAGAGAAAAGGGGGGGGGGGGGGGGGTTACTGCAGTTGTAGTTGGGGCCTTTCATTGGGCTGTGGGATTTCCTGCCATTGTAATTACCTTTCATTGATATTTGTACTTCTATTATTTCTTACTATATAATGGACATTATTATTATTCTTATATGGCACAGGCTAGTCGATGCTCAACAACTTGGGATTAGACCTAGGTCAATAGAACATCTCGTACACCCCGTAATTTACTGCTCTCAAAGATTGCATTTTGCTTTGAACTAGGTCTGACCTAATTCCAGGCCAACCTTTGAAACAACCAAGGGACGAATTTTTTTTTTGGCCATGGAATCCCATAGAGGAGTTATGCACATGCCCAAATTTGCCAATGTTTTCTCAAAGGTAGGTGCCTTCATATATTGCGGTAAAATGACAATATAGTTTGTCATTCAAAGAGGCCCTTATAAATGTGAAATGAACTGCAAATCAAGATGCTGGTCGATCTGGGTGCTCTCTAGAGGAATGTTGTGTGGCTGGTGGTGAAGCATTGGTTGCAAGGCCCAGTAGGATTCCAACTACGTGATGCATTGATGATCCTTGCTTGGGGTCTTGATGGCAGCATGACAAACCCAACTTCAACACCAACTCCATCTCTATTTGCTTATATTCTCCAACAATACGAGTATCTACGGCCTTGAGCAGCGTCCCCACTACATGTAACCCATGGTCCACAAGCAACACTTCATCTTCTGCTCTCCACCTCTCAATTGGCTTTCGTCCACAGGTCACCTCTAGCACCACCACCCCAATGCTATACACATCACTAGCCACCGTAGGTGTAGGAAGGCGAGCCAACTCTTGCACAAGGTACCCCAACATGCCCACCACCATCGTGGTATCTGGGGCTTGCCCGTGCTTGTATAGCTTTGCCAAACCAAATCTCCGAGCTGAACCCTCAGCTCAGTCTCTAGCAGCACATTGCTAGACTTGATGACTCGGTGTAGCACCTGTTGCTCCCAGCCCTCGTATACGTACAGAAGCCCCTCGGCCAGGTCTGTTAGGATTTGGAGCCTAGCTGCCCACCGTAGTGGCTCTGGGGGCGAGTCAAATATCCATCGGTTGAGGCTTCCATTGGGCATGAAATTATAGACTAGAAGAAATTGGCTGGCACATTGGCACCACCCCCATAACTGGACTAGCCTCTGGTCCCCATGCTCCAGATCTCGGCCAATAACTCTTGCCTCCCCTGCTTAGAGGTTTATGATATGCACTTAACCACGACCTCATCTCCTGATATGGGTAGCACTCCTTTGTACCCTTGGCCGAGACCTCCTGCACCCAAAAATCCCTCCTTTGTGAACCCATTTGTCGCCTGGTATAGGTTGTCATAGGGGATCCTGTGTGACCAATACTCCCCCTTTGACTCCTCTGCCTCCTCATCCACTGCTGAACTCCCTCGCCAAAAAACAGCTGGTGAATGATTCTGATGGCCACATGGACGAATACTATGACGCAAACAAATGTGATTCCTTCTATCAATGCTGTGGATCGGGTTGAGGAGAAGTCTGCCTGGGAGAAGGCTGGGAGGTTAGAGGTGTCAAGTGGTCTAGCAGGGTCGGTGGTACTAAGGCTCCATGCAAGAATCCGTTTCCGCTCAATGTATTCCCCCTACAAGTCTATGAAAACATAAAAAATCTTGCCAGAAATGATTTCATGGAGCTTGCTGCTATGGTATGAGAGGAGCGGACAGGCCGGATGGGGCAGGCCAGGATTGTGATCGTGACATATATTGTGAGATTGGGACCATCTAAGTCGATCTAGGCCTGGATATTCCGTCCAGAGTGCATGTCTAGTGGCTGGAATCCTACTGTGGAGTTCCAGAATCCAGCAGCTGCAGGTGTAGGTTGTGTGACTCTGTAGTTGGACGAGAGGTAGATGGTGACATGGTTGTCACCTTCATTGATCTTCTTGTATAAGTAGTGACCGAATTGGGCTTGATAAGGCTTTGGAAATTGGGGATGATTTCCTCTTCAATGGCTTCAAGCATGGCGACTTGCCCCTCTTCAATGATGCTCGCCTTTGACAACCTCACCCTCCTCACTCCTGATTCCAAATATTCCTCCTCTACTAAAAGTATCTGTATACCCTCACCTCTCCCCATCAAATGGAGTAATTCTACCAAGTCGTCCTCCACCTTCATCTTCTCCACCCTGCCCTGCAACTCCACCAGCCGTTCCTTTGCCTGGCCTTCATTCTCTCTGTTCCCACTGGGACACCCGATGTTCTCTGGCCATTATGATCCCTTCCTTGACCCGAAAATCAATTTTGACCTTTGATTATGAAATTTGAATTTTCAAAACTGGTGCAGATTTGGTAGATCACTAAACAATTGAAAATTAAAAATGTAAGTAATTTATATTATAATACATTATTTTTAGGGCTCAAAATTTAATAAGCTTACAACGACGCTATTTTGGCTATATTTTGACTAGATTTCATTCCCTGTTAGTGAGATTACCTTAATTTATTGGCCCTACAAACTTTGATTGCGATTGATTGGAGTTCCGGGAATTCTCACAGTCACAATCTTGTTTAATAGATATTTTGCTTTGGCCAAGCTCCTATTGTAGCATACGATTAATACTCTCAACTTGTGTTCCAAAAACGTCTAACGGTGCCAAGGTGGCTTGGGGGTTCCAGGCCGCCCAACACCTAGGTGGGACTGGCCACCCAGAATGTGGGCAGCCCAGGTAGAGTAAAAAGCATAGGAGGTTGTCTAATTCAATTGTTTTAGGGTTGGACACTGTTTGAAAACCAAAAGAGGCATATTGAAACATATCACACATCAATAATACATAATATATAATCTATCCATAGTTCATTACGCCCTTTGTTTGGATCGATTTCTTGAAATATTGAATAGTCCTTTGATCCTATGGAAATCACAAAATTTCAATTATTTATTTCAATTATTTTGAAGTTTTTCTCTCTTTAGAAGGGTTCAATTGGGGTTTAGATTCGATATGAACATAACACCCTTTTTTGAGAAGCTTAAACTTAAAAAAAAACAAAAAAAATCAAATGCCCCTTGATTTTGACATCACTATGACCGTAAGGACCATATTATATAGGCCCTCGGTAAATGTTCCCTGATTATTTCTCGAAGTCCGTGTGTTGACTTTCATGTAGAATGGTTCCTTCAGTGTGAGGGCAAATGATCCAAATTAATTAATTTGATCCTACCCTTCTCCCTCAATTTAAACATTCAAAATCTAATATGACACCAAGGAACAAGTTGTGGCCTCTTCAGTGCCCTGGGGGCTCTGTAACAAGTGTTGGTTGACCTTTTGCATGTTTACGCTTTTCCAAGACAACACATCTCCACAAAGCACATCTTTTTTCTCTCTCAATCATCTAAGCATCTGCAAATTCTTGGTTTATTTCTCTTCATATTTGGGATTGATCCATCTTTCTTTTCTCAATGGCAACAAAGAAGGTATGCCGCCCTTTTCTCCTCCTCTTCTTCGCTAGCTATGCTGCAGGAGGGGTCCTCTTCTCAACACTCAAGCCTACTCTTGTGGTTCAAGCATCACCCAGAGCTGGAAGTGGTAGCAAACCCCTCTCTCTCTCTCTCTCTCTCTCTCACACAATTGATCTCTAAGGTGGGCATTCTATGTTTTGGACCCAGCGGGTCAGGTTCGGGTCCAGCCCAGGTCTGGCATGGACCATATTGGGTCATGTTGGGTCCATGTTGGGATCGACCTGATCCAGTATAAAATATATCAAAAAACATGTAAAATATATGCACTACAGTATATAAAATGATATTTTTTTTATATTTTTGAGTCACCCTAGTCCGGGTCCATATGAAACTTAGTTGGGTTGGGTCCGGGTCCAGGTCGACCTTGTCCTGAACTGACCCGTTGCGACCACCATAATCAGGTGGTTTACCCCCATACGCCTTTATCCCTCAACTCACTTCTTAATATTGCGCTTTCTTACCAAAAAATTATCTTATTCTATCACAGTTCTAAACGTGGGTGAGGATCGCATAACCGTGACATGGTCCTTGAACCAGTCTTTCCCCAAAGGAATGGACCAACAATATAAGAAAATAAAGGTGAAGCTTTGTTATGCACCTATTAGCCAAAAGGACAGGGCATGGAGGAAGACTGTGGATGATATCAAGAAAGATAAGACATGCCAATTCAAGATAGCAGCGCAACCCTACAACTCAACAGCCACTGTCGCATGGCTCATAGAGAGAGACACACCCACTGCTACTTATTTCATTAGAACTTATGCCTTAGATTCTCAAGATAATGAAGTGACCTATGGCCAGACCACCAACAAGAACAAGACCACTAATCTCTTTGTGATTCAAGGGATTAGTGGCAGACAGGCTTCTCTCGATGTAGCAGCTGCGGTCTTCTCAGTCTTCTCGGTGTTCTCTCTCTTCGCTTTCTTCATTAGGGAGAAGTGGGCGGCCAAGCGCGTGCAAAGGAAGTGAGAGAGCTGAAGGGATCCTATGAATTAGGGGTGTTTGTAAAATTTTGCTGGTTTTCTTTTTTTCACTTCATGGAGATAGAGAGAGGTCTGGTTCGTTGGTTAACAGAGTTTGAGAGACGTGCTTTAAATAAATCAGACCTCGGTCGCTACAATAGTCTCTCTCTCTCAAATCTAGTACCCTTTCTAACTCGGAGATGGCTCAAAACTAATGATTTATGCAACTCTCTTTCTCACCTATGTGAGAGTTTGTACTTTCTAAAACAACGACTTTTGGTATCTCATAGGTGCTTTTAAATTGGGAATTATAGAAGGCTTAGGATTTAGATAAACATTTTAAAGCCACTGAAAAAATGTAGTCTTGAAGACACTTACATTGATCATCTTGATTAATTATGGATCTATATTTATTTCAATCCTTATCTAAACTGTCTTTTATTCTAGTAGATATTTGTCTGGAGCTATTTTGGGAGTTTCAAATTTCATGATTAGTAGCTTATAAATTGGTTCAAATTTCATGATAAAGAGTATAAATATCTTATTACAAATTTCTTAATCGTTAAAGTAAATGATATTGTCTTTACAATCCATAAAGATTTCCAATTGTACATTCTATTATATTTTTAAATTTTTATTTTTTTGTGAATGTATTATGACTATTTTCTTTTTCTTTTATTTATAATTTTAATATTTCTTATCCATCCTTGGCACTTCATGAAATGATATCAACTCTCATACTTAGGCATTAATTTTCGGAATGCAGAAATAATAATAGATATTTTATGTTCTACCAACATTGAGGAGTTCAAAGTGCATTATTGACCTCTTTTGTTTTTTGAATATTTTATTGTTATTCTATCCATAATCACCGGTATTTTAAGACCCAACAATTTTCAATCTGGTTCGTTTATTTGGATAGGAATCGGGTGGGATTGAACTGGTTATGGGATGGTATGGCTCCTGGACTGGATTCCCACGGAAATCCCTGCTCTCTCTCTCTACTCTCTGTCCTCTCTTTATATATATATNTAATCTAGTCGTAGG